TTAAATAAAATTGTGTTGAAATATATATGGCAAGGTAAGAAAGCAAGAATAAAATTAAAACTTTTGCAAGATGCAAGAATAAGAGGAGGATTTGGTTTGCCTAATTAGGAATTGTACTACCAAGCTACAAATTTAATGTGGGTTAAGGAATGGATAGCATTAAGAAATGCTAGATTGTTGACATTAGAAGGACATGATCTGTTGTTCGGGTATTTTAGGGGTATTTTAGAAGACATTATATATGGGTGTCTCTGTGGTTAAATTGGGAGAAGACTAAAAGACAATGTTATTTGAAAATTCCAGTCTGGGTATCGACTATTGAAGCATTTTCTTATCCTATAATATACAAAAAGGAAAAAACAGATATAGTGAAATATTGAATGAAAAGGGTGAACTTAAATCTATGCAAAATCTAGAGGAACAAGGTATAAAGATGAATTGGTTTTCATATGCACAAATACATTCAAGGTATGACAAAGTTTCTAAAACAGAAGGTTTCTATGATAAACTGACTGATTTAGATAAGATTTTGACAGGTACTGATGAAAAGGTGATTAAAAAAATTGTATGAATACTTGTTAGAAATTAAACTAGAAGAAGAACAAGTCAAAGAAACAATGATTGCTTGGGGGAAAAATTTTGGATATGGGATGGATCTAGAGAAATGGCAAAAATTGTGGTCTTGAAATTATGAAATGTCAATGTCAATGGCATATAAAGAAAATTTGTATAAGATATTTTATAGGTGGCATTTCCCCCAACAAGAATAGCAAGAATGTTCAAGATCAAATCTGGAAATTGTTGGAAATGTCATCAGGTACCTGGCTCGTATTACCATATGTGGTGGACTTGTGCAGATGCCAAAAAATATTGGACTAAAATCCACACATAGTTGGAAAAATGACAAAAAAGCATATAGACTTGAAACCAGAGATATTTTTATTGGGAATTTTACCTGAAATATATAGTAAAAAATTGAAATATTTGATTGTAAATGTATTAACAGCGGCTAGGATTGTATTCACTAAAAACTGGAAAAATGAGAAAATACCAACAAAGGAGGAAGCTATTAAGAAAATATTGGAATGTGCTGAAATGAGTAGATTGACATTTGAAATCAGAGAACAAGATGATAAACAATGTTATAAAATTTGGGATCTATTCTATCAATGGTTAGACAATAAAACATGATAGTGAAATATGCAGATTTTTAGAACATAATGAATATATAAAGATGTATTTTTTATTATACCTACAAAATGATTATAGGATAGATTTGAGATAATATGAACTGTCATAAAACAAATTAAGTAAAATATGGATTATCTTGTAAAACATGAATGAATAATAGTATAGTCAAATGATTGATTAACAATGATATTAACGTATTTAGGAATATTTGATTAACAATATGACAACATATACAATGTAATTGTAATTGAAAACTACAAAGTGGATGCACAAAACTATTTGTAAACCAACCGACACACTGTATACAGATATATGGAAGATGGTTTGACGTTTTTATGTTGTGTTTGTTTATGTTTGTCTTGAAAACAATAAAACTTTAAAAAAAAGGAAAAAAAACAGATCTGCCAACATCTAGAAACAAGTAAAGTAATAAGGAGCAGTGAGGATGGGTTTGTAAAAAACAGATCATTCCAAACCAATCTTATTTCATTCTTCAACCCGGTGACTAAATTAGTGGACCAGCAAAATACTGTGGACATTATATATTTAGAACTCAGCAAAGCATTTGGCAAAGTAGACCACAACCTACTTCTTAGTAAGCTCGAAAAACGTAGAATAAATAGCACCATCACTAGATGGACTTGCAACTGGCTGGCAAACCACACTCAACAAGTAGTCCTTAATGGGTCTAAGTTTACATGGAGGGATGTAAGCAGTGGGGTGCCACAAGATTCCATCTTAGGCCCAGTACTCTTCAATATCTTCATTAATGACTTATATGAGGGAATAGAAGGGAAACTTACCCAATTTGCAGATGATACTAAGCTGGCAGGAATAGGTAACCCCCAAGAAGATAGGCTCAAGATCCAGATGGATCTTGACAGACTAGAACACTGAGCTGTATCTAACAAAATGAAATTCAATATAGAGAAAAGTAAAGTCCTACATTTAGGCAAGAAAAACAAAAGATACACATATAGACTGGGTGAAACCAGGTCCAATAGCAGTAACTGTGAGAGGGATCTTGGAATCCTAGTGGGCAACCAGCTAAAGATGAGCTAGCAGTGTGCAGCAGCAGCCAAAAAAGCTAATGCAATCCTAAGTTGTATTAACAGAGGGATACAATCGAGATCAAGTGAGGTACTAATACCACTCTATAAAGCCTTAGTAAGACCACACATAGAGTATTACATCCAGTTTTGTTCACTACATTATAAAAAAGGTGCTGAGACTCTAGAAAAAGTACAGAGAAGATCAACCAGGATGATTAGGGGACTGGAGGCTAAAACATACAATGAACAGTTGAAGAAAATGGGCTTGGCTAGTCTAGTAAAGAGAAGGACCAGAGGAAACATGATAGAGGTCTTCCAATATTTGGGGGGCTGCCACAGAGAGGAAGGGGTCAAGCTATTTTCTAAAGCACCTGTAGGCCAGATAAGGAATCATGGATGGAAACTGAACAAGGAGAGATTTAACCTGGAAGTAAGGAGAAACTTTCTAACAGTGAGAACAATCAACCAATGAAACAGCTTGCCCTCAGAAGTTGTAGGAGCACCATCACTTGAGACTTTCAAGAAGAGATTGGACTGCCATTTGTCAGAAATAGTGTTGGATCTCCCGCTTGGGCAGGGGGGTTAAACTAGATGACCTACAAGGTCCCTTCCAACTCTGATTATCTGTTATGATGTTTTTTTCCTGTCTCTTGATGAATGTATATTGAGAGTATTTGCATCGACAAATTCCTTGTGTGTCCAATCACACTTGGCCAATAAAGAATTCTATTCTATTCTATTCTATTCTATTCTATTCTATTCTATTCTATTCTATTCTATTCTAGTCTAGTCTAGTCTAGTCTAGTCTAGTCTAGTCTAGTCTATTTCATTTTACTTCATTTTCCTTTTACGTTAGTTTATTTTCATTTCATTTTATTATTTTATTTTTACTGTATATCAAACCTATACTATTTCTATAAATAATTCAATGTGGTAAATGTATCCAGCACACAACTTACTCCAGTGGTAGGATTTGTTTTTTACTACCAGTTGATTAGAAAGAAAATTTGATCCTGTCAACCCTTCTACCATCCTGTAAGACCTAATCTCTTCATAGCTCAACCATCCTGCCAGAACTAATGAAGTGAATGAGAATGAGAAGTGAAATTCTTCTTCCTCATGGAAAAAAAGTCCAGTTGCCTTTTAAAAAAGAATCTTTGAGGCTACCATGACTCCTTTGCCACAGAAACTGTAGCACCAGAGTTTCCAGCTGTGCCAGGAATATGGTCAAGATTCCAACAAATGAGCTCAAGCACATCAAATATCCAGGCTGGAATCTTCCTCAAACAGCTTCTTTATTGGATACATCATATCAGCACAGTTAAATGGAAGACCAACTCTAAATATTTCCAAGGATTTCAGTATAATCAAAACAGCAAATGATTCCCTCCCCAAGTGTTACTGGTCACATTATTCAATTAAATGAATTGGTGGGCTCTTTAAGCACTACCATCCTTTTTCATCTGACATTTGTGAAGATGAGCTGGGTTCCCAAGAGAAGGATCAGTGTTTTGTCTGGCAATGCATTCCAACCTCTCCCCCTCCCAAACACACCTGAATAGCGTGTGGTAACTGAGAAATGGTTCCTGCCAGGTTCAGTTTGAAGTTGACAGATATTGATTGCATCAAATTCTGCATCTTTAATGTTATTTGGAAGGTTGTGGAAAGGAACAGATTGCATAAATTGTGTAGTGTAGCATTGACTGTGACATGGTCAGCTGCTGCTTCTGCTTTTTTGATCAGATGTCATTCTGGTGTTTTCCATTGCTTCCCCAGTAAAGAATTATAGGAGTAGAGATTAATGTCAGACAGAAAAAAACAGGCACACACATCAAGGGTTCAAATAATCTAATTTATTGCTTAAAGTCCATGCAAAGGAATATACTCAAATAATGGTCATCCTTTGCTAAATTGCTGTTAAACTTACAAGAATCACAAACTCAATAAATTTTACATTTGAAGAAGAATTAAAAATTCCAAAGTTCATATACTATCATTCTGTGTTAAAAAAATTTTTTTAAATGCAAACCAGCTTTTTATTACATTTATGTAATGCTTTAGGAATTCAAACTATAAAAACCATGATATGTCTCTGCAAACATTAGACTACACTTGACCCAATATCTGAAATATCCTAAGACAATAAAAAAGCTAGATGACCAAAAATAGTTCAGTCAAATGAATGGTTAATAATTGATATTACATAAGCACAAGCTAGATTTATAAGGTGAGAATTTATATAACTTGTGAGTAATGGTTAAAAAAAAAGGATAGCACAAAAGATTGTAACCAACTGACACACTGTATGTATATAATTGAAAGAGGGTTTTATGTTTTTATGTTTTGTTTGCATGTTTGTTGTAAAAAAAAATGTTTAAAAAACATAGAAAGCTAGATGACCAAAATCAAATGTGTTGAAAAGGAGAAAACATTAAGTTAAAGAATTTTAAGAAATGATTAAAGTTTAGATTATCAGAGTTGGAAGGGACCATGTAGGTCATCTACTCCAACCCTCCACCTAAGCAGGAGACCCTAAACCATTTCTGACATTTACTTTACTGAAAGGAAAGAAGCATGAGCACTGATTTTGAAATGTGCAATCATAGTAAATCTTAATAATCATGAACTTCTTACACAAACCTTTCTTTGACAGAAATAAAAACTTCTATGTTCCTATCACTGTATATTTCCTATAGATAATAGTATTTCTAGTCATTTTTTCAGCAATTTTTTGAGCCAGAAAAATCACTGGATGCACTAATGTCTCTTTGTGAGTTTCTCCCTCTGGTTGAGGTCAGGCCGGAAAACAATGATGTGGCATTTTGGCAAAAATATGCATCCCAATAAAGCAGCACTAGAGGCCAAGATGGAGAAGACCTCCACAGCTACCATGGCTTTTCCTTTTGTGCTCAGATAGGCTGGAAAGAAAGAGATCCACACACTGCAAAAGGCCAACATGCTGAAGGTGATGAACTTGGCTTCGTTAAAGCTGTCAGGTAATTTTCGGGCAAGAAAAGCCACAATAAAGCTGGCAACAGCCAAAATACCCATGTAGCCTAAGACACAGTAGAAGAAGAAAGGTGACCCCTCATTGCATTGTAAAATCATTTCTTGGAATTCTGAGTGCATGTCCAATTCAGGGAATGGTGGAGATGTTGACAACCAAAGAATATAAATACATACTTGAAAGAGGGAACAGGAAACTACAATAGAAAAAGCCAATCTTTTCCCCACCCATTTCCTTATCTGAGATCCTGGTTTAGTGGCCATGAAGGCAACAACCACAGTGATGGTTTTGGCCAGTACACTAGAAATGGCTACAGAGAAAGTGATGCCAAACATTGATTGTCGGAGAAGGCAGGTCAATTTTCCAGGTTGGCTGAGGAACAACAAAGAAGAGAGAAAGCATAGCAGAAGAGAGAGAAGGAGGGTGTAGGTGAGGGACCGGTTGTTGGCTATGACAATAGGAGTGTCCCTGTGCTTAATAAATATTCCAAGAACCCAAGATGTCAACAAAAAGAAACCAAGAGCTGCTGAGGCTAAGCCAATTCCTAAGGTTTCTTCAAAAGTTAGAAAAATTAGCAGTTTCAAGGTACATCCATTCTTTTCTTTATTTGGATAATGATCTTCTGAACATTCAAAACAGTCTTCCATATCTGTAAGGAAAATCAAAGATATTTTTCATCTAAGCAATCCATGTTATTGATGGGTGTTTGGTGTACTCTGAGCTTGCTTGTTTCCTTGCAGACATTTCATTACCCTAGCTTGATAACATCATCAATTCTAGGAAGGAGTGCTGTTTGCTGTCAGTTTATATTCTGGTGTCTTGCCTGTCTGTACAAGTGAGGAAAGTCTTAGAGGTTTTTTGGCTTGGCTCTTTTTTGATGGCTCTTTGGCAGTTTCTTGACTGCCAATGTATTGTTTACTTGATTGTTGGTCTGTGTACTAATACCACTCTATAAAGCCTTAGTAAGACCACACCTTACGTCCAGTTTTGTTCACCACATTAAGAAAAAGGTGTTGAGACTAGAAAAAGTACAGAGAGGAACAACCAGGATGATTAGCAGACTGGAGACTAAAACAATTGAATGGAGAACAGTTACAGGAACTGGGCTTGGCTAGTCTAGTAAAGAGAAGGACCAGGGGAGACATATTAACAATCTTCCAATATTTGAGGGGCTGCCACAGAGAGGAAGGGGTCAAGCTATTTTCTAAAGTGCCTGTAGGCCAGACAAGAATAAGAGATGGAAACTGAACAAGGCGAGATTTAACCTGGAAATAAGGAGAAACTTTCTGACAGTGTGAACAATCAACCAATGGAACACCTTGCCCTCAGAAGTTGTGGGAGTGCCATCACTTGAGACTTTCAAAAAGAGATTGGACTGCCATCTGTCAGAAGTGGTGTAGGGTCTCCCGCTTGGGTGGAGGGTTGGACTAGATGACCTACAAGGTCCCTTCCAACTCTGATTATCTGTTATCTGGTTCATCTATGCTGATCTGGGTGCTGATTACTGGTGGAGAGCTGCTGGAGTCTTTTTGTTCTCTTTGGAGCTTTATGGCCTTATTTGAATGGACTACAGATGTTGTTAATGTCTGTATGTCTACTGATGGCTGATCTGTCAGAGTGTCAGGCCTCTATAAATTCCCTGGTATTTTTGGACTTGGCCTGGTCTACTATTGCCATATTTTTCCAATTGAAACTATAGTTGCATCTGTCTATATGTTGTGAAATTAAAGAATTTTCTTCATTTCTTCTGATCATCACTTGGTGTTCATGGATGTGCTCTGCCATCTTCTGCCTGTTTGTCCTACATAGTGGTTCTTGCACTTCTTACATTTCTGTTGAGATGACTGGTTTTTTTCTTCTGGAGTTGCTCGGCCTATTGATTTCCTTAGGATGTTTTGAAGGGCTTTAGTTGGCTTGTATGATTCCATGCAGTTGTATAGTCTGCTGGTGGTTTTTGAGATATTCTTGATGTATGACAATGTAATTCTTTTTAGGGTTTGAGTTGGTTATGCTATACATGGTTGAGTTATCAGGGAGTTTTTAATAAAATTGTGTCGGTATCCATTTGGTTGGAATGTGTTATATAGACGCTCAATTTCCTTAATCTGCTGTTCTGAGTTGCTGCAGTGTTTGGGCTCATTTTCATTGGATACCCATACAACTAACAGCAAACAACACTCCTTACTGGCATTGATAAGGTTACCTAGTTAAGGAAATAAAAGATTTACAAGAAAAGAAAGAAGCTCAGAGTACCAAGGACTCCTCATTTCAACCCTGAGCTGCAAATATTCTCATTTCTTGGTATTCAATATTATTGAAAATCATCTTATTAATTTTATGCAACCAATTAATTTACTAAAATTTGCTAAGAATTCTTAGCCTACCATTTTGATTTGAAATCTTCCCTTCTAGGCATGGAACACAGTCATAGCAGCAGAACTGATCCCCCTCAATCCTTTTCTTCCAGCATCCAGGGAAACAAGGGTCATTGCAACGAGAAAGTGGAGGAATCTGGTGATAAAACATAAATGGTTTTGAAATTGGAGATATTTAAAATGTTTTTTTTTTCTTTATGGAGGAAAATTATTATTATTTTTATTTTCCAAAGACTAGATAAAACAATGTAGGAATTTTTTAAAAAGTAGAAATTAGAATGATGTACAAACTTTCCTGCTTGTAGGAAAGGGCAAAAAATAATAACACTTTATAACAATCACATGGAAGAAAACACTGAATTTATTAGTTTCATCCACAACTTAAAATGATGTAGAAACCACAATTATGTGGAAAAGATCCTGTTTGAAGGGCAGGGAGAGTACACAATTTCACAGACTGACAATTTTATGGAAACATGGCCACTGTTGTGATTTCAAATGGAAATTCAAATCAAATATACAAACATGGCTTTTATAATATCATTTTGTCAATTTAATGAGTTCTTGATTAACAAACAACATTTGAAAAGAATACTCCACTGTTTCTTTAAAATCCAGGAATCAGATTTTGAAAAAGACTAGATTCAATATGGGATCATAATGGAATAAGGCATGGACAGTTCACTAATTCGATACTTGTTTAAAAGCTGTATTCCATGCAATCATATCTTCATCAATCCATAATTCCTTTCCTTTTGGAGCCTGTAGATCCATCTTTCCAACTCTAACTCTCTGAAAGGATCTATTAGGAAATGTGATCAAGTTGGTGATGTCGAATCCACCTGTTGCTTCCCCTTTGTCATTCAGGAACACTCTCTCCCCAGCTGAATTGTTAAAAGAAATCCCTTGAAGAAATGAATGGAGCTACTTGAAAGGGAATAGAAGAGAGATAGGGAAGAAAACAACATATTCAAGTTTCATTCACTCATTCTTCCCATTCCAATAACTATGATTAAATATGTAAACTTAGAAATTTGATGATCAATATTGCATGGAAGTGTACATGTCCACTCTATTATTTAGTTGATATTATTTTAAAGAAATATAACAATGAACAGAAGAATGAAAATAAGCTTTTTGAATTATGTCACTTTATCCAATTAAGTTTACTAAAATACCTAATTCAAGATAGATCATATCTAATATTTACTCATTGGTACAAAGCATTTTGAGAGTCTGAGGTCTGACTAATTTCCAGATTTTAGAATTTGAGACACAAGCTTTCTTTAATAGATAAATGAGAGTTAGAGATTATTGCAAACATAAGGCTGTTTCATGCTATGCATGCCACATTGAAAAAGGGCCAGCTATTTCTCTAAATATCTGATAGAGACAGAAAACTCAACTTGTGACTCATGAAAAATTTAATGAGCCACACGGAGTGTTCTTGGAGAATTGCTTATTTTTGGAAGTGATAACAAAAAGTAATATGAATTATCATTTTAACTATTATTCTGCAAGCCATTAGGAGATTTCTTAAATAACTCCTATCAACATGCATACCATCATTTTTATAGTTGCTTCTCAATAATCTGAATAGCAGAATAACCAAAGGACTGAATAACAACAGAAATTGGGTGGGGGGGATTTTTTGGTATCTATTTTATACAAAACAATATAACACAGTTGGAAGAGACCTTGGAGGTTTTCTAGTAAAACAGCAGGCTCAAGGGGAAGAACATACAACATTTCAAGCAAATGGCTGTTCAATCTCTTTATAAATATTCCCTATTATGAAGCACCCAGAACTTCTAAAGGCAAATTTTTCCACTGATTAATTGTTATCACTGTAAACAAATTGTCCTATTTCTATGTTTTTCACATAGTAGATTACACATGCAAAATATATTAACATTTTTCAGAATGAGTTCAAAAGATAATTCTACTTCAAGCTGCTCATTGAAAGTCCAATGCAAAGGGAATACCTGCCAAGGCTGCAGCTGTAGAAGATCGGGGTTTTTACCCATCATAGTTTTCTTCCTATTGAACATCAATATGTGTAGAGACTGCAAAGCATGAGCCACAGCATAAACAGCATTGTAGACACTGTAGCTTTGGGCTGTCATTTCCATTTCAAACACAGGTGCAGGAAGATCCTCCAACTTCATCTCCTCAGTGCATTTCTTACTATGCATTCCTTGTAATTCTGGCTTTGGAAATGAACAATCAAAGGACTGTTCCCAAACATCTTGTCGAAACCCATCTCTGTAGTCTGAAACAGGATTTATGGCCTGAAGAAATTCCCTGAAACCTACAACTGTTCTGGAATGAACAGTGAAGGAAATAGCCCCATGGTACATCTTGAGATCCGAACTGATTTGAACACCTGACAGTACAAAATCAATCTTTGCAGTCATGATCCACACCTTTCTTAATAATTCACTTTTCTTGTTTTCAGGGTCTACCAGAAATGTTGCAAATCTTAGCCACATAATTGTCCAGGATTCTCCATAGGCCAAGAATACATTGGATTTGCTATAGAACATATTAATAGAAATTATTGAGAATTTTTGATAAAATTCTAGGAAACCTTCCAAGTGGATTTTTTGATCAAGCCTTTCTATAAACGATGAGCATATTCCATTCTCAGAAAGTAAGGGCTCAATTTTCTGTAAGAATTTGTCTCCATTGTTGTTATCAACAGAAAATATGCCAATCCATGTCCACCTGAAATGACGAAGCAATTGGATAATCCCAATGTATTGATGATCCTCTTTGGGAACCATGAAATAAAGTGAAGAGAGCTTACTGGTCTGAAATTCCTCTTGGGCTAATGAGCCGTATGTCAGCTAAAAGAAAGTCCAGTAATATTCTTTAGAGTCTTTAGATTAAATTTAATTTTTCTATCTTGTTTTCATACAAAATATATCAAAGGGAGATTTTCCCCCAGCATTCTTTAAAGTATATAGAAACAATTTTTTGGAAATATTTCAAACATAGATACTAGATCTATGTTGTTTTAATAGAAGCAGTTCAAATCTTCCCTCAGGAATGGAATGTCCCCTGATACTCACTTCCTGTAACTGGCATTGTAACATCAGAAAATAATACCAAGCAGGAGACCTTAAGCCATGCACAACATCTTAATATCTAAACCTAATTGTTAATGCCTATTCATTATTCCATAACAACAATAAGATTAAAAATTTTCTTCTCAACCCCTTCAGAACTTACTTGTGGAATCTTGGAAAATCCTGTAATTTCAGCTACATAAAACGATGTGACAAAATCCAGTCCCCCAATGATAGCCATGAGATTCTTCTGGATATCACATTTGTAGTTAGGGACAAATTCCTGGGATTTGAAAAGCAGGTCCAAAGTGGTGCGATAGGTCATCCTTGGGTTGTAGTAACTGTCATAGATGTGGAACCCAAGAGTGACATTGGGTAAGATCTGGGAGTCCTCATTGATCTCCTTCACAGCAAAAGCCAAAGCAAGGATGTGCTGGTAGAATTTAATTATTATACTGCAAATGATTTAAATACCACAGTTGAAAAAGGAAGTTGATCATTCTCAATAGGTGACATAATTTCTATATGACTATCAAACATTTCTTTCTCTGATGAAAGTAGGAAACTAATAGATTTTCTAAAATGGTGAATAATTTCAACTATTTCTAATTTTTCTTTTTCTATGGTATTTGCATAATTTGCAACAAATAACTGCTACAAGAAATAAAAATAGTGCATTTTTCATGATACAAAATGTATTTTTAACATTTTTTCACCAAATATAATATGAACAATTCTAGAATGTATCAGTCATTTATTTTATGTGTTTTTTATAAGATTAGCGATACATATTTTTTTTAAAAAAAATTACAATTTTGTTCAAAAAGTGTTTTGCACTAAAGTTACATATATTATATGACAAACTTTACCATAAGGTAAAGAAAGTTATTTATGCTTCCATAACTAGAAATGTTTGTAGGACAGAGAGAGTTAGAGTAGATATAAAACCTACATTTATGCTGAAATCCTTTTACTCTCATAAGCAATTTTGGGAAGACTAAGATTAGAAAAAGAAAACCTTACTTTGGTACATCATAAGAAGTTATACGAGGATATTCCTTAAAATGTATTTCAAAAAGGTTGTAAATTATGCGGGACACCATCCCACCAATGATGAGGTCCCCAGGTTGGTACCACTCATGTGGTACAAGGAATGCATCACTTGCAGGGCAGCTCAGAGTCACTATTTTCTTCACCATTAAAATCAGGAGGAGAAACATCTTCACTCTTGAAAATGTCTCTCACTTTCATCCTATTTTAGAGGAAATATTGTATTATTCCAATTGTTAATCCAGTGGTTAATTTAAGGTTTATATCTGAGTGTGCACTAATCAGACAATCCACTATTGGGTATTTGGAGATCCACGAGACTGAAAAATTATTTCTTTAATGGCGTCAGGGTTTGAACAGATATTCTGCCAGTGGAGAATAGAGGCAGGGAACACATTGCCCTGACTCTGACACACACCCATCATTATCCTTGTGCCAATCCCTTGGGGTTCAAGATACATTGATTGTTGTTGAACTGAAATAGTCTTCTCTGCAGTCTTGAAGGTTTTTACCTAGTGGAGAAAATATGGTGATTCCTGTAGGAGATGATTACTTTGTTTTTGGTAGAGAATAAGCGGCCAATGTTTTTAAATTACTAAGAAAAATGCACAGAGGGGAATTTCCAATACAAAATACACAGGTTATTTGAAGATCTATCTCTTCCTGATAAGATCCATGGGATCTAGTAGAGCAGGGAGGCAGGGAATTTTGTGAGTATTCTCCCTTAATTAAGGACATCTGGTGGGACCCAGAGGAAGTGTCTTCTTTGTAATGTCTCCCTCCCTCTGGAATGTCATCCATATGGTGATTTGATTGGTTCCCATTTTGACACTCTTTTGCAGGGGTATCAAACTCAATTTCATTGAGGACCACATCAGGATTGTGTTTGACCTTGAGTTTTTATTTTTTTTAAGCAGCTCAGAGACACAGAAAGTGATTGGGTGGTCATAGACATTCTCTTAAATGAATAAAGAAAACTTCTTCCAAGTATGTCATAAGGTTTATTCCAGGATGTTCATTAAATTTCAGTTTATAAAACTGGTGAAGTATGTTCCCCCATAATGAAAACAGAGGAAGCATCACTTGCAGAGTAACCAGTTTCTATCTAAATTAGAGTTACACTTTCATACCAAAGCTAGAAGAAATGTCCTGGAGAGATAAGCAAAGTGCAGACCAGAGTTGCAAAGTTGCAATGAAAAAATCTCCACTGACCTCTCTTCCATTGTCGCTGTAGCTGACACAAGAATTATATTAGCTTTTTTGGCTGCCACTGGACACAGTTGACTCATGTTGAAGTGATCATCCACTAACACAAAACTGTAAGGTCCCTCTTACTGTTACTGTTTTTAAGCTATTTTTCTCTTAATCTGTACTTGTACATTTGGGATTTTTTTGTCTCTGGGTGTAAAATTTCTCCAAATTAAATTTCATTTTGTTGGATAGGGACAATTGTTCAAGTCTGCCAAGATTTTTTTGGATTCTGGACTTGTTTTATGGGGTGTTCGCTATTCCTGCCAGCTTAGTGTCATCTGCAAATTTGTTGAGTTCCCCTTCTATTTCCTCATCTAAATCATTTATGATGATATTGAAGAGTACTGGGCCTAAGACAGTACTCCAGGGCTTACTACCCTCTATATCATTCTTTGTCAAAGAATGAAATATGTTTGGTTTAGCATGATCTGTTTTTAACAAACCTGTGCTGTCTACTAATTATAATTTTATTATAACTAATATTTTATTAATTTCCAGTTCACGGATCTGTTTATTACATTATATTTTCCAGTATCTTCCGAGGTATATTAGTTAAACTGTGGTCTGTGGTTTCCTGGGTCTGTTGCCCCTCCCCCCTTTCTTTTTTTTCTTTTTGAAGATGGGAGCTACATCAGCTTTCTTCCAATCCTCTGGTAGTTCCCCAGTGCTCCAAGATTTTTTAAAGATGTGATACAATGGTTCTGAATAACATCTACCAGCTCCCTCAGAACTCTTGGATATAATCCATCAGGACCAGATAATTTATATTAATCAAAGTCAGATAGGTGTTCGCTTACCATTTTCTTGCTTATTTTATTTTTTTATTTCTACTCTGTCTTTTACAGTTATGTTTTTAGGAGGTTGGGCTATAGCTTCTTTTTGAGTGAAGACTGATGCAAAGAATGAGTTAAGCAGCTCTGCTTTGACTCTATTGCCTGCAACTTCCTTGCCATCTTCTCTTTTTAGTGGAATGGTTTATTACCTTTGACTTTTGTTGCAAATCTTCGTTCATCCTGAGCTTTTGCTTTCTTGACTTCATCTTTGCAGATTTGGGCTATCTGCTGATATTCTGCCATATGTGTCCCTCTTTCCATTTTTTGTACTTATCCTTTTTGTCATTCAGTTTATCAGATAGTTCTTTATGCATCCATGCTGGTTTCTTCTTGGATTTCTTGTTTTTCTTTTTTTAGTTTTATTGTGTTGGACTAGGCTTTTATGATCATATTTTTTCAGTATTTCCCATGCTTCTTGAGTTGTTTTCTCCTTTAGGCTATTTATCCATGAAAATTTTGCTTAGGCTCTCTGAGTTTATTAAAACCAGCTCTTTTAAAATTTAAGACACTGGTTGGATTGTATTCTATTGCTTGTATTTGCATTATATTAAAATCTAGTATGATGGTGTCACTCTCGCCCAAGGTTCCAGCAACTTCAATTCCCTCTATCACTTCTTTCTCTATTAGTAAGAATTAGATCCAGTATGTTTTTTCCTCTAGTTCTCTAATACCTTTTGAATGACAAAGTTGTCAGCTAAGATGGTTAGGATTCTGTTCAAGTACCCACTTGCTGCAGAGTTTGTCTCCTAGTCAGGGTGATTAAAGTTTTTGCTTGGAATTAGGTTCTATAGGTCATGAAGATTGTCCCAGCCCCACCTCAATTTTAGTTTAAAGCCCTTTGGATAAGATGAGTGTTGAAGTAATTCCCCATTAGGAGAATGAGCACATACAGGGAGATGTAATGAGAGTAATGTTGAATAATACACACACAGCACACAGATACACTGTAGAGTAAATGTAGGTTTTTACTTCCAATAAATGTTTAAGCAATTTCCAAGATCTCTGGTCTTTATCTCTGATCAGGACTTCCAGTGAAGATCACAGTGAATCATCATAACTTTCATCCAATGAGGAAAGAATAATGTAAACCTGATGCAGCTCTGAAAATATCAGTTCCTTTTCATATAGCTCTTAAAAAGTTCTTTTCATGAAGTTCAAATGAGCTAACATATCTTCACCTTTCAGAAGATGTTCTCTAAACAGTTTACGTGTAAGATGTATGTGTGCACCTGCACTGTCACAAACATAAATCCTCTTCAAATTCTCCCAACACCTAGCAGCAGACTCTTCTCCACAAATATGGACTAGCTTCTGGTCACTAAGTGTTAGTCCAATTATACAAAGAGCTTGTTCGTTGTTCTGTTTAAAGTCAGCAAGTTTCTTGGCATCGTCCTCATTTTCTGGATTCCAAGCATTTACATCCGGTGGATCTTGAGCTACAATCCATAACACTTCTCTACGCAGAAGTGGACTGCACTTCATAGACCAGGAAACATAGTTTGTTCCATCCAACTGGGTTATCAGTGATAGAAGTGAAGTGTTGTTGAAGTGTCTTGTGCCATCTTTACCAGGATAGTAACCCACAATTAAACAGTAAACAGCTGTCTGTATACAGTACTGTGCATTCACACTAACTCTCACTTATCTGAGCCTGGTATGGCCTGGGCCCATAACCAGTGCTGAGGTAATTCCCTGTTAGGAGAATGAGCGCATACAGGGAGACGTAATGAGAGTAATGTTGAATAATACACACACAGCACACAGATACACTGTACAGTAAATGTAGGTTTTTACTTCCAATAAACGTTTAAGCAAATTCCAAGATAAGCACTCCAAGTCATTCACTGGTAAAGCAGTCAGTTTTCAGTTCAGGGATAATCCAAATATCAAAGTCCAGTATCAAAAAACTGTTCAGTAACAGACTTACATCAACGATCAGTAACAGTCATTGGGAAGAAATTTTAACACTCTCCAACAGAAGGAAACAGAGACTCACTCATTTCACTGAGACTCTATTCTGAGACTAAACCACCCAGGTTTCTGGCTCCATCCTATGGCCATTTGCGGAACTATACCCAATTACAGATTTAGTATTCTCTTAAAGGCATAGTATTAAAATGTCTATCCTAGTTTACATATTTCCAACCCAAATAACTGTTAGGTGACTTATATTCCTAATAATGAGGCAGACATTTTCTGAATGTATTGTTCCCAGTCCATCCCTTTTCATTAGCCCTTCATCTAGGCAATGCAGGCTATGGTTTATGAAGCCAAAATTCTGTTGATGACACTAGTTTTAAGCCAGTGGCTCATTTTTAATCCTTTGCACTGTCATTGGATGTTGGCCTTTTGTTGGAAGTATAGATGAAAATACCACTTATACTCCTAATTCTTTAATTTTTTCCCTAGCTGTTCGTAATCTCTTGTTATAATCTTCAGATTCATGGTTGTGTCATTGGTCCCCACATGTAGAAGGAAGGGATAGTAATCTGTAAGTTTGATTATTTTAGTAAGATACTCAGTTACATCTTTGATTTTTGCTCCAGAGAGGCTTTATAACTTGCTAGATTGACTTTCTTGTCTGCAGACTATAGTCTGCTTTCCTCTAAGAGTTGAATCTCCTATCACCAATATCCACCTTTTTCCCCCTAAGGAAGGATGGAATATTTCCTGTTGTAGAAATGCTGGCTTTTGCCTATCTTTTTTTTTAGAAATTGATGAATGCTCTTTTGTGACAGTCTATATATTTTTCTCCAGGGGAAAGTAATTGTTTAATTCCTTCATTGGAATGGGCTAAGGTGGATAGTCGGGGCTTTATTTTTGGTTGTTTGTTTTTTTCTAAGAACATCATTTTCCATTGATTTTGCTCTTTAGATACATATATAAGCTGTTTTTTTTTTTTAGTATGGAAGCTGTTTGTTCCCTAATGTGTTCAATTGTGGTGTATCGGTTTTCTTCTTTATGTTCATATATGGGGTCATCTTCATTTAAGAAGCCTTTTCCTCCCTGTTGTGCTTTATTTTGGTGTAGTCTCCTTCTTTAGGTTGGGATTTCTCACTTAGTTCATTGAGTTTCAGAGTGGCTAGAGTTGTCTCTAAACCCATTACCTTTTCTTCTAGTAATTCAAGTAGTTTACATTTGATACATACATATTTGTATGTACTACAACTACTACTCACACTTCTCTGATTGCAAGCTGGAACGTATGACACACTTTGAAAATCACTAGAGGTTCAGTCTCTTGTCTCCACAATTTTTTCTTTGTTTGTTTGCTAAAAAAAAAAAAAATCCTAAAAATTTAAATATTATCTCTGTTCTGAACTGTCAGTTTACAATAGTTTATGAGTTCTTGACCTTTTGTTCTGTATTGAAAAATTCATAACTATCTTCCCTGATTTAAGTGTCTATCTCTTTTTCTTTGTATTTTAATATTTTTTTACTATTAAAATAAATAAACTATGTTTTTCAAATCCTTAGTGGAAAAAAGAAATTTTACATTTTAAAAAAATGAAAAAAAAATTGTTTTATAAAAAATAAAAAAGAACTTTAAAATTGAAAAAAAATGAAAAAAATTAAATTAAAACTGATATTTAACAGTTGAAAAAGATTAAAATTGGTATTAGGAAGTTAAAAATTGAAAAAATGAAATTGAAAAAATTGAAAAGTAGTTTTTCTTAAGAAAGGACATTCAGGAATTTTAAAAATCTAAAAATTTTCCAGAGTTTTGGACCCCTTATGAATTAATAGGTACTTTAATTGTTGGAAGTCTCAGGCTATTTTCTAAGAGATGATTTGCTCTTAGCCATATACTACCTGACTTGAAAAATTTACCCCTTTACTCACTGTGCAAAAGTGTTTTGTACTTATCCTTTTTTCCTGCTTTCCTGCCCTTTTGTTGACTGTTCACTGCCACGGTTTTTAAATAAGAGATGCTCATGTGTACACTCTGCTTTGCTGGCCCACCATGATGCTATCAGCTGCTGCAGTGGGTGCCGTTGATCAGTTAGCCCTGTCCACCACTCTCAGCCATTGCTTGTCCACTGAGTAGCTTTTAGTTGCTGCTCAGTGTGCTTCACTCCACCGCCACATAGGTCTGAACTGCTACTGCTCAAGCTCTGTCATGCTGCACAGAGCTGCTG